TACAGGGTGTGGCCGTTATACGCAGGTTTAGCATCGTCAGTCTTGCCCTCTATAATGACCGTTATATACAGGTTGTGTTGGCCGTTCTTCGCAGGTGTTCAGCATTGTCAGTCTCGTCGGCGTTGCCTGCTCCCTCGCCCTGCAGGTCGTCATCTTCCCGCAGATGTTCCGCGCCGCGTGGAGCGTCTACGTCGCCGCCTTCACGCTCTCGCTGCTCGGACTCACGTTCGGCTTCACGCTGGCCGCTATATGCAGGTTGAGCTGGCCGCGCTGCCGCACCGTGTCGCTGGAGACGGCCGTGCAGAACGTGCCGCTGTGTCTGACCGTCATCATGCTGACGTTCCCGCGCGAGTTCGCGAACGAGGCGCTGCTCTTCCCCTGCCTGTACGCGCTTGCCTCGCTGCTCTACCCGCTCACACTCGTCTGCGTGTGGAACGCCTACTACTACGGCCGCTGCCGACCCGGCGGCAAGGCGCGTGCGCACGAGAGGCTGCCGCTGGACGACGTCGGTGCCGGTCGGCTGGCAGACGACAACGACGACGACAAGACGCTCGCGTGAGGCAGCGATCGCACGAGCGCGCGCGACCTGGTTTACGGTCGACGAGGCGTGACGTCACGCGCAGTGAGAGGTGACGTCAGGATGGCCGACGAGTCGTGACGTCACGTGCAGCAGGAGGGGTGACGTCACGATGGCCGACGAGTCGTGACGTCACGCACAGTGAGAGGTGACGTCACGCAGTCGACGAGGAGCGATGTCACTATGGCCTACGAGTCGTGACGTCGCGTGCAGCAGGAGGGGTGACGTCACGTGCAGCAGGAGGGGTGACGTCACGAGGTCGACGAGGAGCGACGTCACGTGCAGCAGGAGGGGTGACGTCACGTGCAGCAGGAGGGGGGACGTCACGTGAAACAGGAGGGGTGACGTCACGAGGTCGACGAGGAGCGACGTCACGTGCAGCAGAAGGGGTGACGTCACGTGCAGCAGGAGGGGTGACGTCACGCGGTCGACGAGGAGCGACGTCACGTGCAGCAGGAGGGGTGACGTCACAATGGCCGACGAGTCGTGACGTTACGTGCAGCAAGAGGGGTGACGTCACGATGACCGACGAGTCGTGCCGTCACGTG